GCTCATGCACCAGAGCAAAGCTGGCAGAGGCACCAGTATGACCATCCCTGTGGGTGTGGAGCTCATGCCAGGGCTAGGGAGGTGGTTTCATACCTCCCCACAGAGCATTTCTGTGTTTGGTGGGGATGGAGATTCTCCCCCCAGGGATCCTCATCTTGGTGCACACAGCATCTGTCCCTTGAGCACTCAGGTGTAGCCAGGGAGGTCTACTGAACACCCCCCCCCAAATAACCTGAATTCTTCAAACTGAGGCAGGTTTGTTTTTACCAAGTCACAGCAAATTTCTATGTGAAGCCAGCCCAGTGTCTGCAGCCCTCAGCATCTGATTTATCCTGATGAAACTGAAGAGCTGAGCACTGGACAAGTTGTGGAGATCCCTGCCCAACCTCATGGAGCACATGGCAACCCAAAAGGTAGATTTAAAAGTGAGAACTTCCAGGGGACACTCAGCTGCACATCTTCAACCTATGGGGGGGGAAATGGAATTAAATCCTGACAAAGGCACCTTAACAGAAAGGAAATGTTCTTGCTCTCTCCATTTAGAAAAAAAACCCAACAACAACAACAACAACAAACCCCCCAAAACCCCACAACACCCCCAAAATCCCCAATGTTTACAGTAGAGTATGTGCTGCTCTCAGCATTATCCCTTGGGATCAGATGGACATGAAGACTCCAGACAGGTGGAAGGTCCCTCAGCACCCCCTTGGCATAGCCAGGAAACCTTGCCAAACTCTTTAATGTCACCAGCACTGTCTTAGCAGGGGTTAGTCCTGATGAAGAAATGGGATATTTGATATTTGGGAAGCAGAATTCAGAAAGATTAGGATTTGGGGTTTCAAACTTGAACTAAAAGGAAATGAAAAAGGATTTTGTGTTTTAGGGTGGCCCAAAGATTTCCTACAGACTTGATACTGGAATGATACATTTAACAACAGCCATGGGTAAAAAGAATGCTAAAAAGCAACACTGCACCCGCACCTTGTGACTCTGCAGTGTCCAAATGAGCAATCGCCTTTAATTGCCTCTGTTGCTTTTAACCAGTTTTGTGCTCACCAAGTGACATCGAATCAGGGAGAATTTCTCCAAGCGCTGAGCCAGGAGTGAGGCTCACACTCATTAAATTGGGGTTAATTATAATAATGTTAGTATAACAAGAATAGTATGATAGGACTAATTAGAATTGGTCTAATAATACGGGAGTTCAAGCTATAGCAGTCACTGTACAAAACCTGTGCCAAAGTTCTTCAAAGCTGGACTCGTATCCTGCACAACTCCCGGGCAATCTGACATCTAAAAGCTGCTGCAAAGCTTTGACACTGCTTTCCCCAGCATCCCAGCTCATGTCACACCCACCATATGTCTGCCTCTGCCTGCTAGCAGATTGCACCAAATATTTTCCCTTTTTTATCATGGCTGAGCAAACAAACACCATCTGTGGGGCTCGTCAAGGGAAATCTTGGCCCCCTCCGCAGCAAGGGGAAGGCGGCTGCATGTGGCTGTGGGGCCTGATGTCCCTGCCGTCCATCCTCTGAGACAAGAGCCTTTCTTTGCTCCTCAGCCCTGCCCATCCACACAGCTGAGTAAAGCCCTGGCCTTTTGCAAACATTCAACACTCATATTCTGTTCTAGAAATGCTGGGTCCTTTCGAAGGAGACTGCCTATCGTCAACACGGGCTTGTGGGGCTGCCTTGGCGGGGTGGTAGGTGGAAGAGAGCAAGGAGATTTTCTTTTGGTAGGTAGGATCTATCCACACAGATATATCCTGGATGTATCCATGCTGCCAGGGACTTTGGACATCTTCCAGCCATGCTCGAATCCCTGGCCCAGGTCTGATGCTGATTTTTGGTGCTGCTTGTCCTACCTAGAGACAGAGGTCTGGGTGGGCAGCTGAGGAGGAGCACAAACTACTCCTTCTATGTTTAAACATTTATTACTTTGGAAGGCAAAACTCCAGGGGGACTCCACTGGATATGGAGGGTCTGTGCTATCCACTCATGGACCCCAGCACTGGTGGTGAGCCCTGGTAGCAGTGGGTCATCAGCAGTCCCTGAAGGAAGGGTCTGCACACGGTCCCCAGCTGCATGGCTGGGTGCAAAGTCTTCCTCCTGCTTTGCCTTCCTCTGTTATTACTTGCCTTTCTGTCAGAAACCCCTCTTCTGGGAAGCACAGAGTGGTAATCTCCATTTTGTAAAACCCCCCACAGTTTTGATCTAGCTAGGAATTCACAGGGAGGTCTCACCAAGCGAAGGGCTCAGCAGGCACAGGTGTAAATGACCTGCCACCTCACATGTTTTTCCACTCACCCTCCTGCAGCGCTGGGTCCAGGGCACGTGCTCTGACCAAATCTTGTGTACAAGTGCCCTTTGGATTTAGCAACTCACACAGTGCCAGCAGAACCAATGAACCACAGGCTTCTCTGCTGCTGCCTTTAATTAGAAGTGCCATGTCTGACACCAACCCACGTTCCTGCTATGAAGACTTGGCTGCCACATGCAATGCTGACTGCTCTGCTTAGTCTGAAAACCTACTAGACTTTTTAAAATGATCATTGTTATTGTTACTATTTCCTTTTGGGGATCACCTCCCTCCACATTTGAAATCTTAACAACTTGTCAGTTTAATGGCTCTGACCAATGACTGTGCTGAATGGTCTTAGCAGCCCAAGTCAGCACCCACAAGGCCTCTGAGACCATGGTGAGCTCACAGGGCTCTGGGTGTGCAGCAAAACTGGCCCCAGAGGGGTGGCCTGAGAAGCAGACTAAGCCTGGTAAAGGCTTTGATTCCAACCTCCCGGGAAAGAGGGAATTCAAAGAATGAGGCTGCAGCTCCTACCCCCTTTTTTTTTGGTTTTTTCCTCAGTCTTCTGCTAAAGTGGCTCCATCCTGTTGCTTGCTGAGGGCACTGAGCAGGCTGGAGCTGAGCGCCCTGTGGCAGGACATTGTGGCTCTGGAATGTGCTTGATGTTCAGGCAGACAAGAGGGCAGGGAACCCCTCTTTGCAGCTGCTTTGGCTCTCTTAACCCCTGGGAAAACAACTGACTTGTGAGACTTGAGGGAACTGCCTCACTCTGCACACTCCTTCCAGTGACACAAAACTGTGTATTTATTGAAAACCAGTTTAGGAACCTCAGCAATGAATAAAACATCAGGTCCGGGTGTGTTTCCATGCAAAGGTCTTCACCAGATGGGCAATGCTTTGAACTGAAGCATGAGGTAGATGAAGGGTTTTTTTCTTTAACCCTTCCTCAGCAGCCAGGTGTCATCCTGCAGGGCGGGTTGTGCTGGGAAGGTCCATGTTGTTTGGAAATCCCACTCCCAGGTCAGCAGCCCGAAGACAAGGGCTGCTGGAACCTTTTTACTGGCTTGGTGCCATGCAACACATTTATTTTAAAGTGTGTGGGTCTTCTTCTGCCTGGAATGGGTCAACTTCTACTTTAAAAAATACTACGCGTACCAAATTTAGAGATTTATTTCTCACTCCCCCTTGTTCTCTGCATCATTATTATTTATTTATTATTTTTGCTTCTGACTGTCCAATTGGTTGCAGTAATTCAAGGTAATTCAAGGCAGAGGAAGAGGTTTCTTAGATTTCCAAGAGTGCCAGCACTCCTTAACCTTTATAAAATTAGGGAGAATGAATCACTTGTGACTTTTACATCTTCCTGGAACACCAGCATTTGTTAGAGGCTGGCTGCCCTGGGCAGTGCTGCACCTCAGTTTCACTTAGTTGTCAATGTTTGTAAATCCCCACCTAATGTCTCTGCACAATGGAGACTCTGCACGCACACGGGGATTTATGGAGGGGGACACTAAACATATTTCAGCTGGAGGAAAGGAAGATGAGGCACTTATCTGTTTTATTGTCCTATACAGTATATATCGGCCTCTCATATTTTGTGAACATAAATGCCAGGTTGACTCAGGAGATCTATGGATCAAGTGTTGTTTGCAACCTGTTCTCCATACTTCAAATTGTGTTAAAGTTTCATCTTGGCAGCCAGGCCTTTTGCCATCTTCCTCTAACTCTGCTGCACCAGGAGATGCTGAGTGCTTTTTAAATTTTTTTTTATTCTGGAGCACAGGATGAGAACACAATGGCTCATTTTTAAAGGAGAATTGGCAGTTTTAGCTTATTTTGTGAGTCTACCCTGGCTTCAGCAGTGTGAGGGAGCAGGTCCCTGTCCCAGCCCCACCCCTGCAGCCCAGGAAGGTAGCAAGGGCTCTGTCCCTCACTGTCATCCCTCCCCTGCAGCCAGATGTGCCCACAGCATGGAAAGAGGCACTAGGGACATGGGACAGGATAGTACCCAACCTCACTGGGCTTAAGGACAAGCTCCTCCTGGGGCAGGACAGGGCCCAGAACACCTCACCCACCCCCTTTCCTCCCCCAAGACAGGCAAAGAGGATGCTGAGCTCGGACACAGCTCACTGCAGCCAGCTGTGGCCAGAAACACACCCAAGCCCACCTGCCCCTGGGGGCTTGTGACACCTTGACAAGTCCCTGAACAAGGTGCAGTTGGCACTTGGTTTTGGTTTAGTTCCACACTTGCCTCCATGGCTCTTGTTTCTTTGGCCAGAGCTGCTTCCATCCAGCAGGGATGACAGGCTGTCAGCAGAGGGGACATCATGCCGTGTGGTTAATGCAGCAGGGGGGGCTTCCTGAGCACCAAAAAACAACAGGCTATTAGGGAGACACAAGGGCACTTTTCACAGCTGGATCCAAGCACACAGATGCAGCTGTTGTGCTGCTGCTGACAACAAACAGCCCTCTTCTCTGAGCCAGCCAAACCCAGACACATGTGGATGGAAACACCTCCACCCAGCCCTCGGGTTCCACAAGGACACATTCAACAGCCAAGGACAGGCTGTTCTTTTACTCTTCAAACCCTCCACACATCTCCCACAGTTTCCAGTCTCATGGATAAGGATCAGGAGCTGTCGTGGATGCAGAGAAAGCCAAGACAGTGTTTCCTGGGCTCAAGGACGCTAGAAGACACGATGGCAATTGGTTTAAGAAAGGCTGAATACACCACCCTGCAAACCAGTTTGGCAGGGTTTCACCCTGGAATCACAGCATGGTCAGGGTAAGAGGACAAGGGGTAATAACATCTTGAAACTGGAAGAGGGGAGATTTAGAGTAGACATTAGGAGGAAATTATTCATGGTAGGTGTGGTGAGACACTGGAACAGGTTGCTCAGAGAAGCTGTGCAGGCTTCACCAGTGTTCAAAGGATGTTGGATGGGGCTTAACCTGGCCTAGTGGACAGGGTTTGGAACTAGATGATCTGTGACACATGAGCTTGCACCAGAATTGCCCACAGGAACTAGTTTTCTGGGATCAACAGAGCTGGGAGGTTCCGTGATTCCCCCATGCTGTGTGGTGCTGTCTGCTTAACGTTAGTAGCAAAGGAAATATTGAACCTTCCATAAAAAAAGGCAAGAAGGTAGATAGATAGATAGATAGATAGATAGATAGATAGATAGACAGATGATTGATAATAGATAGATAGATAGATAGATAGATAGACAGACAGACAAACAGACAGATAGAATCCAATTGAAAATGTCCCCAGTGTTCAGGAGCTACAGAGGGAACAAGCTACTTCAACAGAGGAGTGTGAAACCTGAAAATTGAAGGGTAACTACTTGAAGAATGTTTTTAACCTTGATTTAACACCCACCTAAGTAGAAGTCATTCTCTGTAGATGAGATAAGAGCTGTGGAAAATGCCCCTGTTGCCACCAGCCCCTGCTGTCAGGCTGGAATCCCTCAGCTGAGCTGCAGAACCCGACGTCTTGCTGCTTGTACTTTTCCTGGTGAGCTGGGACGAGGGGAAACTGTGTCGCCAGCCAGATTTCGTGGCTCTGTGCCACTGTGTCCTTATGTGATGAAGTTCCCTCAAAGAATAGCTAGCTTACTTTAATCATGTCTGCCCCGAGATTTATGGCTTGATGTTTATTCACCAGTGGAGCTTCTCAATGTGAAATGTCAGTAAGCCTGTTATAAATTGCTCCTGGCGTTCCTGCTCTAGCTTTTATTTGGCCAGGAGTATTTCCACCTGAAAGTGATAAATTCCTGCTATAACTGCTTTACGTGCTTCAGTAATTACCCTGTACCGGGAAGGCAGGGGCTGCATCCGGGCAAATATCACCTCAAAACCAGCAAATAGTGGGAGATTGAGCTGAACCCAGAGGTGCTACTGAGAGAAACAAACACCCCTGAAACCCAAAGTAACAGAGGCAGGTGAAGTGTCTCCTTCAGACTGACACTGGTGGATGGGTGGAAGAGAAGCTTTCATTTTTCAAGAAAACTGTGGGCACAGGGGCAGTTTATTGATCCCCAGGGGCACTTTGGGGCATTTTGGGGCAGTCTGGGGCAGTTTATCGATCCCCAGGGGCAGTTTGGAGCAGTTTACTGATCCCCAGGGGCACTTTGGGGCATTTTGGGGCAGTTTATCAACCCCCAAGGGCAGTTTGGTGCAGTCTGGGGCGGTTTCTTGATCCCCAGGGGCAGTTTGGGACAGTTTGGGGCGGTTTGGGGCAGTTTACCGATCCCCAGGGGCAGTTTGGGGCAGTCTGGGACAGTTTGGGGCAGTTTACCGATCCCCAGGGGCAGTTTGGGTCATTTTGGGGCAGTTTATCAATCCCCAAGGGCAGTTTGGGGCAGTCTGGGGCGGTTTCTCGATCCCCAGGGGCAGTTTGGGGCAGGCTGGGGCAGTTTCTCGATCCCCAGGAGCAGTTTGGGGCAGTTTAACGATCCCCAAGGGGCAGTTTGGGTCATTTTGATAGCAGTTTGGGGCAGTTTCTCGATCCCCAGGGGCAGTTTGGAGCAGTTTCTCGATCCCCAGGGGCAGTTTCTCGATCCCCAGGGGCAGTCTGGGGAAGTTTCTCAATCTCCAGAGTCAGTTTTTGGGGCAGTTTGAGCCACTTTCCCCTTCCCGCCTTTTTCCCCCCTCGCGCTCCCTGAGGGGGGGGCCCCTCCCTTTTTCTCTCCCTCTCCCCC